GCCCGCCGGGGGCGTGAGCTGCCCCCGCCCCGGGGGGGGAAGCTCCGAAAGCACTCGCTGCCGTAGAAACGGGGTTTATAACTTCCAGTGAAATCTGCTTTCCAAAGTATTTGTGGGGGTTTTATCCAGGCCGAATAAGTCTTTGAATGCAGAAAGAGCTAACATTGAATGCTTTGTCATGATTCTTACACAAACTCATGTCAAAGCTTTTACACTCCCGTTTTCTGTAGGCAGCCTACCCATGTCTGTCTGGCCGGTGTTCCAAGAGCAGGACAAAACCCCTGAGTAACGGAGACAAGTAGAAATGAGCTGTATAGTACAGGGTTGCTCTGACTGTCTATACTGAAAGGACACTTCCCTGCCCAGCCCCCTCCCCTTTCCCCCTTAGAGGTCATTAATCATCTCTTTCTTTTCCCCCATTACCTCATGAAAGTTGATATTGCATGATTCTTCGTTCTTCTCCATCTACTGTGATTCCTGCATCTGTGGTGTGTTTTGCATCTGGAAGGGCAGAACCATGTCTGTGTATAACTGGAAGCATCCCCTGGAGATTCCTCCACCATCTGAAAAGGACTGGCTAAAGGAAGACGAGGAAGATTTCTTCCTGCAGGATCCCGATCAAAAGCGTGATGCGTTGCCTCAGCCCTTCAGGATGGTCAACAAACTGGTGAGGCTGGTTTTTGAGAATGCTATGGAAATCATTGAAAGAAAGGAGATGCTCCGAGAAGCACAAACACTAAAGATCCAGCCCACAAAAGTCTTTCCTACAGCTGAATTCCAGGTACAGAATCCCTCAGAGCAGAGAGAATGTTAATAACCATAGCATTGTTTTCTAGAGAATATCCATTCAGTTGATTTTACATTCTTCTGTTCATCACCTTCCTGAGAATCCACCACCATCTCACTGATTCCCTTCAAAAGGCTGCAGCTTCTAAGCTTGTCTGACAGGTTCTGCTTCCCACTCATCTATCACACCTCTCGGAAAAGAGAGCAGCAGATATTAAACAGCCCTAAATTCACCTTCTGCTTCTCAGGCTGGCTCCACCCTTGCTTGCAGAAGAGAAAGTAATTAGTCAGTTGCTTATAAATGGACAAACTCAGCTTTGTGTTGTGGTGAATACCCTGCCGGGAGTGGTGTGAGCAGAAGGGCAGTGCTGCCTTCCCCATCCCTACGGGGAGGTATGCAGGAGGACACGCTGGTGTCGGCTGGTGTTCTGTGATTGCCCAGAGGAGCTCAGCATCCCATCACAGCTCTGTGTTAGCTGAGTTCTTGGCCTTTAAAGCTCCTTCTGCTTATCCTAAGGGGGAATGGTGTTCTGTGATTGCCCACAGGAGCTCAGCATCCCATCACAGCTCTGTGTTAGCTGAGTTCTAACTGAAGGGGGAAGGTGGGAGCAAATTTTCTACTTTCCAACACAGAACAATCTCTGTGACAGAGGTGTGCGCCCCTCCCTTGCCCTTCCGATGAAAGCTCATGCAGAAAAAATCCCCAGTAGAATAGATCAGCGCTTTCTGCTGGTGAGAGGCTAAGAGTATACCACTAGTTTGGCTGGTGTATCTGCCACCGGGGAAGCAGTTGGGTACACTCATCTTTTCCCTTTCTTGGTAGGTAACTGGAAGAATCAATTGCCTTGCAGTGTCTGGAAAATACGTCTTTGTCGGTCTGTCCGTGGGTCTGGCTGCCTTCAGGGTGTCTGACTGTAAGGAGATCTGTGCTTGGGATGCAGTCAAGATGGAGATTTGTGCCATCCACGCTTCGGATTTGGGGAATGAGCGCTATGTCCTCCTTGCTGTGGATGAAATGGGTTAGTGTGACATGGATTTCCTTGACCTAGCTGAGGATGGTCGTGCTCTGGAGCTGAAGAGTTGGCAGCTGCACTATGGAAGCGCGCTAAATCAGGAGGCACATTGGAATGGCTGACAGGTTTCCTAGAAAGCCCTGCAAAGAGGGCATTTGATAACAAGTTGTAGGGTGACAGAGCGGCCCAAGGGCCTTGTGATTAGTAGAGGGTGTGGGTTTGGTGTCCTCTCTGGAGCAGTAAAGGCAGATGCAGGGCTGAGAGCAAAGAGCAGAAGATTGGATGAACACCTTGGACCAGACAGAAGGAACCATTGCAAGGTACGGCCTCCGGCTGTGCTTTGTTTCAGCACCTGTAATTGTGCAGCCCTGTTGTGCAGCTCAGTATGTTGATTTGTCTGAAACCCATCAATTCTGGTGGAGATACTATTTAAACTGGCTTATCCATCTCTATGTACAATCAAGTGTTTGTTGGTGCTGGCATAAGGAAGCCGGCAAAAGTTTAGTGCTGGAAGCAGTGGGATATTCTTCCTTGAGCCCAGGAAAATAATGTAGTCCAGTCCCTCTCCTGCACATGTTGTAACAGCCAAGAGCATGGCTACCATCTGTTCACTTTTCTCCTCCTCCTCCTGTTACTTTTGCATTTCTATTCCAGGGCTTGTCTGGCTCTTCTGCTTTCACGAGGAAAGCTTCCTACTCGTTAAAATCCTAAATGAAATGGTAAGTATTGAATTAATTCCATAGTCATTGGGCAAAGGCTGGTAAGTAATCAATCATGAGGAGTACTAATTGCCCTCAGGAATTTCTGTCATGGGCAGCAGCACTCCAAGAGTGCTGCCCAATATTTATTCCTGTTCTTCCAACAATCTGTCTGGCCTTCACACTTTCGAGAATTGTGTGAGGCCATGGAGCTCTGTGAATCGGTGATCTTGCTTTGATGCCAGCCTGTTTTTCTCTGGCAGGAGGATATCAGCAAGCAAAGTACTTGTGTGGAGGTGGTGCTGTCCCCAGGAGGCGATTACGCAGGAGTCCTGCTGCAAGGCAAGTGCAGGAACACGGTGTGTTGCGTGACGGCTGTTGTGTTCTAGCAGAGAGGCCAGCAGCAATGCTTTGAAAACACTCAAAGTGGTCTGGGTTCCCAGGAATCCTGTTTCTAACCCTCCCAGTCTCTCCTCCAGCTTAAGAGAGCTGCTCCTGCCACTCTTGGTCTCCTCCAAAAGGCTTGGTGTGGATCAGGACTCATCTGAAAAGTGAGCTGTCTGGAACTGGTTAATGCAGTTCCCAGCTCATGGAACGTGCTGTGAAAGCAGGTTTCCTGCTCCTATCCAGAAGTATCAAACTCGGTTATTCCTCTGGTTTGCCATGGCTCACTGTTTCACTGGGAATATGTACACCTGAGGAATTTTCTTTGCAGACATAAGCCAGACAGCATAGGGACAGTCTCTAAAAACACTACAACACACTCCTTGCTACAACATTCTTCTGCTTCTTGGCAGCTGCCTTTGTCAACCCATTTGCTGCTAGCTGGTTTTCTGTACCCCTTTTTGCTGGAATCTGCCTGGACATACACTGAGAACGAGATACGTAGCATCCACAGAGAACCAGTATGAGACCACATCTCACTTTCTACTTTACCTCAGAGGCTACAGGTCAAATTCTTTGAGTAGCTTCATAGAATTTGGTGGATGTTGGACCTCAAGGACTTGAACTAGAGGCTGAGATGTCAGTCTCAGTCAAGCATGTGAAAAATGGGAGGAGAGGTGGGCTGCGTTGGGTTCAATGGGATTTTATATTTCAAAAAAATACCCAAATCTAGTTTTAAGGATATAAGATAACAGAGGCTGCTTGCTTGAAAGACCTTTTCGCCTAATTTCCAGTTGCTCAATGTGGTTTCCCAATGCAGACAGCACAAAAGCTTGGCTGGAGGTACACCGATTGCCTAAGGATTCCTGGCTGAAGGAGATGGAAAAGAACCCAGGAGCTGCAGCAGGGCTAGCTTGCAGGGTGAGGAGGTCAAGTTGGACATCTGCGGTACAGAACAGTTCCATCTCGCACTGTGCTATTTTTTTCTTTTACGCTTCTGCCTACAGGTCTCTCCCCAAGCCTCGGTCCTGCAGACAGTGATAGCAAGATACAGGCTGAACAAGTCTGTCAGCCCAGGGGGATGGAGTGTTATGTTCCTACATCTGCTACAGCTGCCCATCCCACATTTCACAAGGCCTTTTTGTTATTGGGACATGTTTACTCTCCCAAGACAGGCTTTCCAATGAGGTTCCCTTGGT